CGAACAGTCATGGACAGAATTCGACTTTTTCGCCTCTAATTTAGAAAACATGATTTTTCTCAGCACCCAAAAGGAATTTTAAAAAATTGTTCGTATAGTTTTTAAGCTGAGCATCTGGCGAATCTAACCACGTGAAAATATTGGCTCTACTACCACTAGGGAAACCTGTGATAGATTCGCAAAATTGGGTGTCGTCTTTGAGCCATGCATACTGCAAAAAATTTTGTGAATAGACGTTTGGCTTTAAAAATATTTCAAGACCATTCCCTAATTCAGTTTTTAGATGCTGAATCCAAAAATCTTTCAATAATTTGCGTTTTCAACCGGAAAAAAGTGTCAGAAAAAAATCGAGACACATATATTCGTGATCGCCTCGAAATTCTCTATTGAACGGTGTTATTATGATCGAAAATAACTTTCACTCGAACTTTGAATTATGTGCATCTTATTTATTCAGAAAAAAATGACAAAATTCAAAATCGAGAGATAATAATTGATATTTTGGAAGAATAAACGTTTATTACAGATAATTACACCACAAAATGTTCCTTAGACGTAGAATAGGTTCTTTAACATTTTGTCAAATGCGGCGAATCTATAATCGTTATTGTTCAACAACAGCATCGGATGTTGTAAATACAACAAAAGTCGCTCGTACAAATTCATTGGGTATCCAAATGTTAAGTCAAAAATTGTATGATCAACTATTTCCTAATCAAGAACAACCAATTGATAATGAGATGTCGACTGTCCGTAGTATTGATAATGTTCGTGAACATTTGAAAAAATTTGGTTTAGGGAATGATAATAATGAAACATTAGATGATACTGAATTTAATTTACCATCATTAGAAGGAAAAAATTTAGATGAACATTTTAGAAATATTGCAGACAAGCAATGTCAACCGTATAAAGATTTAATTAAAACTTTAACACTTCCAAAAATCCTACCACAGCAACCGAAGCAATGGTCGTATATTGGAGGATGGACAAAGTGATTATATATAAATACAAAAGCAATGATGGGTAGTAGAAAGTCCTTTTTATTTTGTATTTCAGATATCTGGAAGATGGAAAAACTGAACAATGTACTTTTCCTGATGCCCATGTAATGGTATTCGATGTTGAAACATTAGTTTGCTATGGAAACTTTCCTGTTATGGCTGTCGCGCTATCACCAACACATTGGTATTGATGGTATTTGCCAATTCCTTCAGCTATAATGTAAATGTTTACTTTCAACTAATGAAGTTGTATTTAGGTATTCATGGTGTAGTTCTCGTTTAATCAACGAAGAATTTCGTCTTAAACATGATGTTGAATTAGACGATTTAATACCATTAGAACCAGAAAATAACATTGATCAAGTAAAACTGGTCATCGGTCATCATGTAGCATTTGATCGTACATTCATTAAACAACAATATCAATTAATGGTAACCATTTTGCTTCTTATACAGGACATGTTTCTTGTATGAGTTGTTATAGGGATCGGCTATGCGTTTTCTTGACACAATGAGTCTTCATATCATGTGTTCTGGTTTCACTCATACCCAACGTTCACAATATCAAGCATTCGAAAAATTATCATCACTTATTGATAATGATCATGATGGTGATATTGATAGAGAGCAACAATTATTAGACATTATGTTACAAGTGTCAAAGGAGAAACAAATGAAATATCGAAATAAAATAGAGAAGGAACCGGTATATTTTTATTTTATTTATAAGAGGTCATTTTGTATATTTGTTTCTTTTTTTATTAGAATTTACAATGGAAATCCGAAAGTGGTTTAAATAATTTGGTTGCTGTACATAAACTTTATTGTAAACCCGAAAAACCGTTGAATAAAGATATGCAAAAAATATTTATCGAAGGAACAATCGATGATGTGAGAGAGAATTTTCAGGTATGTAGTTTAGGAATAAAAAATACAATTATGACGTCTGATATTATATTTTCAGAAGTTGATGACCTATTGTGGCAATGATGTAAAGGCAACATGTGAAGTGATAAAAATTTTATATCCAATGTTTGTCGAAAGGTGTATTTCATAAATATATGTTTGTTTATTCTCTTTATTTTTCATACATTTTTTCTTCTTTTAGATTTGACCATCCCGTTACATTGAGTGGAATGCTCGAAATGAGCACAATGTTTTTACCTATAAATCAAAACTGGAATCATTTTATACGTGAAGCTGATGTAACATTTGAAAATATTGAATCTGATATGCAACATATTCTAATGCAAATAGCAAATGAAACATGCAAATATGCAATGAAGGACGCGTATGTTTCATTTTTATATGTTACCGTTCTTTAGATATTATTTAAGATTTTTCGTAATTTAAGATATCGTTCGGATCCGTGGTTATGGGATTTAGACTGGAGTACGCAAAACATTCGGTTTTCAAAGTCAAAAACAAAAAAAAAGACAAAGTCGTCATCGAATTCTGATGCACAAATATCAACATCACTCGGTCATGAACAATCGATTTTCAAAGGAGCTGAAAATTGCTGGCCGGTAAATGTCCTGTCGTTCTTTTTTACTAAGAGTACCGTGTAAAAACTATTGTAAATTCTTTTAGACGAAGATTACAAATAACAGTGATGATTCTGAGATACGTATATCCGCTAATGTTCAACGTATTCTTGATACTCATTTAACACTTCTAAAGATTCAACCACATATGCCAGGCTATCCAGCGTAAGATGAAGATTTGAAAATAACAAAATTTTAATTGTTGAATCCCTGTTTAAATAAAACTACTTGTTAACGTTTATTTTCCCTAGTTGGTATCGTGATTTATGTGCAAAAATGCCAAAAGTATCTGATCTAAATCAAAACGATGTAGAAATTGATGAAAATGTATGGCAACCAGGTCCACAATCAATTTCAACAAAATTACGTGTTGTTCCTAAACTTTTGAAGTTAACTTGGCAAGGATATCCCGTTCACTATAATAGTAAACATGGCTGGGGTTATTTAGTTCCCGGCAAAAATGAGTTTAATCAAGAAGCAAACATCGAAAAAGAAAAATTTATTGAAGAAAAAGAACAAAGTAGTACTTCAACCTGCCAGTTTCCATACAAGTAAAAATAATTGACTTTTCTATAGAAGAAATCAAAACTGTGATTTAATTTATAGAGCATTTGAAGAAATTTGTAAAGTAACAGTGCCCGTGATCACAAATGAAGAAGTGACTCAAGAATCAAAACTGATCGATATGCAGATAAGTAATTTAATAGAACAAATTTGTCCAACTCATCAAGGTAATGGACCGTATGACGATGTTAACATTCCTGGATGCTGGTTTTTCAAAATACCACATAAAGTAGGTATATGAGCTACTTAGGATAATATCAGTCAATAGATTTTTATAGGATGGAAATGAGAAAAATGTTGGTAATCCATTAGCGAGATCGTTTGGTTCTAAAATAGCTGATGGAACATTACAATCCTATCAATCAACAGCGGCTGCGGTCTTGTTACAATGGAGTAAAATGTTAAGTTACTGGCAAAATAATGAAAAACGAATCAAGTATGTATTTTCTTTGGTTTTGAGACAAAAATATATTTTGACATGTTTTTTGTTAGATCACAAATGCCTATATGGATTAAAGAAAATGATCTTCCAGACCACGTAGCTAAACTAACTAAATCCGATAATCAAATTGGCATCATATTACCACGTGTAGTGGTTGCTGGTATGGTTTATGAATATGAACGAACTATATGTTACTTCTTGTGATACGATCGTTTAGGAACAGTCACACGTCGTGCAGTTGAGCCAACATGGCTTACAGCTAGTAATGCACAGGTCAGTAACATTTTTAAATATAATGTCTATTTCAATTAATAAGTAGTTAATAATTTTAGACTGATCGTATTGGTAGTGAACTAAAAGCCATGGTTCAAGCGCCGCCTGGCTACTGTTTTGTAGGTGCTGATGTGGACTCACAAGAATTATGGATTGCATCTATATTGGCCGATGCACAATATGCTGGAATGCACGGTTTGTTAATTATTGTTACAATAGTTTGCTCGATTGTTCACCAGTTATTTGCTGTTAGGTTCAACAGCATTTGGTTGGATGAATCTTCAAGGAAAGAAAAAAGATGGTACTGACTTACATAGTAAAGTGGCAAATTTAGTTGGAATAAGTCGTGATCAAGCAAAGGCAAGCAAAATAAGTTCTACTAACGGTTAGCGGATTATTAATTTAAAATTATTGCCGTGTAGGTATTCAATTATGGACGTATATATGGTGCCGGAAGAAGGTTTGCTGAAAAATTATTGATGCAATTTAATCATTCACTATCATCAAAAGATGCAAAAGAAAAGGCTCGTATTATGTATGAAAATACCAAAGGAATCAAGTATGAATTTGTAATTAAATTCAATCTCAGTTTTAGCGAAAAATAATGGAATCTGTTGGTATATATCTCGAAAAAATTCAACAAGACCAATTTCATATTGCGGAGGCTGTCGAATTGGGTAAAAAAGCCTAAGTCGAAGCATCGGGAATTTGGCTAGTTTTGATTCTAAAGAGATCACATAAAGATTTTATTCAAGCGTCAAATGGCGATAGTTGTCGAAACGTAAAAAATAACAAAGCGATTTTGATGATCTTACGAACTAAAATTGCGCTAGTAATATTAGAATCAAAAGTTGAACATGTAGCCTAATTTTTACTAACGAGGGAACCTCCCAAGCTTGTAAGTCGCTTTCGGGCTAAAACCTAGTGGATCATAGGTTATCGACTATGCTGATTCCGAATATAACAATCATTTTGGCCGATAGGTCTTCAGAGACCGGATTTCTGGAAAAACAGTTTTTCAAAACTCCTAAAAAAGAACCAAAACCTTTGTTAATGAGGCAGGATTGTAGCCCGCAGATTCCGATTAAAATGAGACCCCTCCGAACTCTACACGATCTTTCTTTGCAAAGTTATGGAGTTTGCAAGAAAAGCCCTAAATATTCATTGTCAGCTCAAAGCTACAGAAATAAGAAGAAATTAATTTAGGGCTTTTCTCGTAAATTCTACTACTTTGTAAAGAAAGGCCGTGTAGAGCTGGGAGGGGTCTCATTTTAATCAGAAATCTGCGGGCTACAATCCTGCCTCGTTAACAAAAGTTTTGGTTCTTTTTTAGGAGTTTTGAAAAACTGTTTTTCCAGAAATTCGGTCTCTGAAGACCTATCAGCCAAAATGATTGTTATATTCGGAATTAGCATAGTCGATAACCTATAATCCACTAGGTTTTAGCCCGAAAGCAATTTGTAACCTGGGGAGGTTCCCTCGTAAGTTTTGTTGGTTGACTCATGAGAAAAAATCTCAAAGCCGTCGGATAATTTTTTACTCGCCGTGGCAAACTGTGCAGGATGAGATAGATCTTGTTGTTAGCGTCCAATGTCGTTATAATAATGGTATGCTTCAGATGGACTTACTCTATTCTAGAGATCAGACCACTGGTTTATGGGAAAATGGATCAGAATCAGAAATGTTCAACAAGCTTGAACAAATAGCAAAATTAGAAAAACCAGTTACTCCCGTGTTAGGATGTCAAATCAGTAGAGCTTTGGAACCACGCACCGTATCAGAGGAAGTAGGTGAATGCTGGACCATCAATATATAGCCGATCTGTATGCGCTTTATTCTAGTATATGACAAGTAGAATCAATTGGGTTGTACAAAGTTCAGCGGTTGATTATTTACATTTGATGCTTGTCTGTATGAAATGGTTAACCGACAAGTATAAAATACGTTGTCGGTTTACATTGAGTATACATGATGAAGTACGATACTTATGTCATGTGGATGATAGGTAAACTCAATGAGAGTAGAAATTCTATCTTATTTGTCAAAATGTGTCATTTATTTTCTCTTTTCAGATATCGAGCATGTTTAGCACTTCAAATAGCGAATTTATTTACACGTGCTATGTTTGCTTATAAATTGAATATGAATGATTTACCAGCTGTACGTACACTGATTATACTATGGTTACTCGAGTTTTAAAAGATAAGAGTTTATCTTCTTCTGTTTTTTTAAGTCTGTTGCATTCTTCAGTTCGGTTGATATTGATCAATGTTTAAGAAAAGAACCACTTATGGATTGTAAGACGCCGAGTAATCCGTTGGGTTTACAAGCCTCATATGGAATTCCACCAGGTATACACACACATACACAGCTTCAGAAATTAATCATACGCCGTCTTTTTTTCTCTAGGACAAGCATTAACCATTGGTGACGTTCTAGAACATACAAATGGAAGTTTAGAAGAATCACAAGAAGACATATCAATAGAGTCGAAACAAGAAAAAACTGCTGTTGAAATATAATGTTAACAAGTTAATTCATACTCTTGTTGTATTTACTTTTATGTTTTAAGTCATGATAGTTCTGTTGTTAATTTTTTCTATTTTTGTACCAAAAATATATGTGATACTCAAATTTGCGAGTCATACTGGCAGAATTCTCTGTTAATAGTGAAAATTTATTTTAAGAATGTATATTGTACATCTTGTGTATTAAACTCTTGGATTTTCTTGTCGTTTAGATTTTGCAAGGTACAATCCTGGACAATATTCACTTAAAGTATTTATTAATGAAAATAACCACAAACAGTGTGAATTTTTTCTCGTCGCTGTTTGAATAAGTTGAAACGTGCCTGTATGAAGGAAAAACCAAAACATATTGTATGTAACAGAAAACACAGATGGTTAATTCAAACATTAACAGGGCACAACTGTAAGAACATTAAAGACTAACAACGTTGGTAAAGTGAGTATTTGTATTCCTTTGGAAAGTGATTAATTCTCTGAAAGTCATTTTTCTTTCGAAGGACAAAATTGATCAAGGTGTTAAAGTATTACTGAATTTAAAAGCACAATACAAGATACTAACTGGCATACAACTTGGTGGTGTTGGTGCTGTTCCTCTAAAGAAAGAAAGCCAAAACGAAAGCATCAACACAACAAAATGACAAAAAATCAGAATCTGGAGATCAAAATTCCAAAAATCCAGAATTTTTTAATGGAGTGCTATTATTAAAAAAAGATCAAGAAAAGAACGATTTAGATTTACCATTTTGTGTGAATGAATCAGAACAAACAAATGAACGAAAATGAACAGAACAAAAAAAATGTTAAATATTTTTAATTTATTAGCTTTTTTATTAAATAGAAAAGAAGCAACATGTGTTTTTTATCACGATATAGAAAACCGATTGTATATCAGTCGAAATTTCATAGTAACTACTACTGATCCCAAGTATTTTTCTCATTTTTTTTCAATACTGAAACAACTGAAAGAAAGGCAAACTGATTTTGTTAATTACGTTAATTCAAATAACGTCTCGATAATGAATTTGTCAAAGATTGCGATTGAACGTACAGCAATATATTACATCATCTCGGCCAGAATTTTTCAAAAGTATTTGAAATTGCATTTGATGATCCAAATAAAAAAGATAAAAGTTATGTTTATCAAAATGCATGGAGTCTATCAACAAGAAGAATTGGTCTTTATACGTATACATGTAATTTATTTAAATTGTCGTTACAATTTACGATTAAATGCATTAATAGGAAAAAGTATAATAATGTTTTTCTTATTTGTATATGTAGAGTAGGGTACTATATAAGCATTTCTCAACTATTCCGAAATATTAAAAGAGACAATATCATGGTAAGTCAGTACTATGTTTTCTTGTTAGTATTGGGTATAATATATGTCTTTTGATCCATACTACTCAGTTAAGCAACAAATATCTATAATGGTTTTGGGAAAATACAATCTAATATTTCTTTTATAAGTGCAAGAGAGCTATGCCTGTGTGAGCACTTTCCTCCTTGAATATACAAGACATGAATGCGAAATAGTAGCTAGGATGTTGAGCCGAAAGAGATTTAAAACTGATAAAAAAATTAGTTAGAAAAAGAATGAATGTAAGTCGATCAAAGATAATTCCATGAAATATTCCCTTGACTTTAATTTACTGATATTAGACGGAAAACGTGAATAAACAATAACTATAGTAAAATACTTAAGAGTCATCGATTTTTGTATTAGAGTGAAAAAATCGCGTCTTATTTCGCAAGTCTTACAGTGAACGCGTTACGCGATTCTGCCGCGAATTTTTAAAGAGATTCGCGCCACGACATACGATAAGAAAGTGGACCTACGACTAATCAACTATACTGAGATGGATGAATTATTCGATTTTCTTCTGCAAGCAAATTCTGAATCTTATATCATAGAGATCATGACAGTTTCATGAAACTCTTTTCGATTGAAAATTTCTTTTATTTTTAAGGAAAATCTTTCTGTTCACTAAAAATTTACCATAGGGATGAAGGTCCACCCGTGTGCACATTACATATGTCTGTTTTCATTTCGATCGAAAAAACATGTCTGGACTCGATGTCAATGTCGGAACAAGTTCTTTCGACAAACCAAACGTGTCTACATACACTTTAACCCATTGGGGTTAATTTGAATCGAATCTTTTTTTCGCATAGTACATATTTAAGTTTCAGTTTTAGAATCATATATCGAAGATTTCTCAACAACTATTTTTTTCAAAATGTTACACACACGTTCCTCTATAAATCTATATTATTTAAATACTTTTGTCATCAAAACTGTTTTTTGATAAAAATAGAAATAGAAAATAATAAAATGCTTAAATCTCGTAGTAAAAATTCCATCGTTCCTGGAAATCCTACTAAGTGATTTTTTTGAAACATCCATTTCAAAGAGTATGATTTGAAATTCCTAAGTACTGAGTTTCATAAAATATGGTTCATAAATTTTGGAAAAAAGGGACCAAACAGGTTTGCAATTGTTATGTAACACGCCTCAGGTACACTTATGTGGTGGTTAATAGTGCCATCTCTCGTTTACAACCTATGTCTTTAATTGGGTTAGCTTCAGCCTCTTGGAAATGAACCGGTGAAACGAAAGGGGATAAGGAGTAGAGATAGTGCAATAAACAAACAAAAATACTAAGGATTAACCATAAATAAACAATAACAAGATATAGATTTGCCTTTGTCGAATTACAGAATTGTATAGAGAATTAATGCACTGCACGATACTTTGATGCCTGTCAGAATTCAATGGAAATGATCCAGAAATCCGCCCTACTCACATTACGTACAACCTTACTATGGTCGCATATCAGAACACATCTTCATATGACAAATGAAAACCCCAAAACAGACATATACATATTGCGTTTTTTTCGTTCAAAGATACACGAATTCTACTTAGTCACTACGTCAGAAAGATAGCTCTCAACAGCTAATTTTAGAAGTGGGGCTGTACGAAGAGATCAAGATCTCAGACGTTTTATTTTATTTTTCTCTTCTGCAAGGATCATTAGTTATCTGTCTGGTTTTACTTACTTTTAGATTTTAAATCAATGCCGTATTGTTTAAGTGTCTGTCATATCAGAAATATGAGAATGATTATCATTAAATTGACAATATGATGTTTATGTTTGGTTTCTAAACGAGCGACGTCTTCTTCCTTTTTTTCTAATTGTCAAAAACAACTTCCATTTAACGTGTGTGTGTGTGTGTGTGTGCGAGTAGTTTTTTCTATCGAATATGGGTCAAAATAATTCGGTGACGAATTTTGCGCGACACTTGAGAGTTTATACAGATGTAAATAGACGTAGTAATGAAAACATATTGGAATTTGGTGATATAAATGATGTGAAACGAGTGATAACAGTGAATGCGCCACAGCAAGTCAAATTCATTTCAAATAGAATTAGTACAAGCAAATATTCCATTTTAACATTCTTACCAAAATTTCTATTTGAACAATTTCGAAAATATTCGAACATATTTTTTCTCTGCATTGCTGTTCTACAGGTATGTCTGTTGAAAGGTAGTTGAGACTTATCGATCATTCAATTGGGATTTTTAGCAAATACCTGGTGTGTCGCCGACCGGGCGTTACACAACTGCTGTTCCTTTACTCATTATACTTTGTTGTGCTGCCATTAAAGAAATTATTGAAGATTTTGTAAGTTACTTGAAGTTTAGGCTTAGCTTTTTCAACGCCTTAATTTTATATTTAGAAACGACATATTCAAGATGGCGCAGTGAATAATCGAAGAATATTGAGTAAGTACTTACTATTGTTAAAGTTGACCAATTTAATTCTTCCTTTCATATTAGTCTATCGTTATGGTAATTGGTTATATTCAAAGTGGATGAATGTCAAAGTGGGGGATATTATTAAAGTGACTGATAAAGAATACTTTCCTGCTGATCTCATTTTATTATCATCGAGGTAAAAATTTGTTTACTGTTTTATTTCTATTGGTTATACAAAAATTTTAAAAATTATTTAGTGAACCACATTCCATTTGTTATATACATACATCAAATTTAGATGGTGAAACAAATTTAAAAGTTCGTCAAGTATGTTTGTCAGGATTTCAAACTTTATATCTCTTTACTCTATGTTTCTTTTATGCCAAAGGGTTTACCTCAGACATCCCATATTATATCCAGTTTACAACTCAAAGATTTACAAGGCATAATTGAATGTGAACTACCTAATCGACATTTATATGAATTTTCTGGAACTCTAAAATTAGAAAATATTCCACATGCCATACCATTGGGTTCTGATCAAATTTTACTTCGTGGTTCACAATTGAAAAATACGGGTTGGATCTATGGTTTAGCCATCTATAGTGGACAAGAAACAAAGCTAATGATGGTAATTATTATTATTTTTTCTTTTATTTTTACCTGTTCTCTCGCTTTATTTAGAATTCATCTTCTGTTCCATTTAAACGAACTAATGTTGAACAAATAACGAACAATCAAGTAAGAAGAATAATAAAGTCATTGTTGTTGACAAATTTAGCCATAATTTTCTTTTCTACTTTTAGATACTTCTTTTGTTATTTCTTTTATTGATCCTATGTTTATTCAGTACACTTGCAAGTGAATTATGGAATTCCAAGAATCGTGTTGGTCACTGGTATTTAGGTCTGACCAAAATATCTGATAACAGTGCTAGTATGTTTTCTTTTATTGGCTCTTGCTATTTAGATATTGTGCATTTTAACTTTATATTTAGCTACGGTGCCCAATCATTTTGGTTATACATTTTTGACATTTTTTATTCTATTCAATAATTTAATACCAATATCATTACAAATAACAGTTGATCTCGTTAAATTTATTCAGGCTTATTTTATCAATTGGGTATTTGTTAATACAAAAGCAGTTTCACATGCTTGTTAATTAAATAATATTTGATTTAGGACAGAGATATGTATGACGAAGAGTCGGATATTCCAGCAAATGCAAGAACCTCAAATTTAAATGAAGAACTTGGCCAAGTAAACACATCATATTAAGAGAAAATAAATTAAATCCAGTACTATTTTTTTTTTCATCTAGGTCAAATATATCTTCTCGGATAAAACTGGTACACTGACAAAAAATGTTATGCTTTTCAAACAATGTTCCATTGCTGGTATTATGTATGGGTAAGTCGAAAAAAAGAAAATACAAAACTTTGATGAATTATATTCATTTTTGCTTTTGTTTCTAGTTCGGGTAATGTTGAAAGATTTAATGATTTTCAATTAATGCAGAATCTGACCAATCATGTATGCTAAATGGAGTTTTCGATTTTTTTTACTCATTTAAAAACTCAAAAGGAATTCTTCTATACAGCGTACAGGTGATCAAATTCGAGAATTTTTAACATTGCTTGCTACATGCCATACTGTTGTTCCTGAACAAAAAACGGATTCATTAGCCGGTGTGACGTATCAGGCATCATCACCAGGTGAGAAAAGAATATTCAAAGAAAGAAAGATCGATTTATCTGCTAACAATGTGTTTATTTTTAGATGAAACTGCATTAGTTGCAGCACTTAAAGAAATGAATGTTATTTTTTACCGTCGTACGCCCAATGCTGTGGCTATTAACTTTGTAAGCACATTTGTGAAACAAACCTAATAATCTCTTTCAATCGATTTTTCACTTTAGAGAGGTCAAGATGAAGTTTATCAGATACTGAATGTCCTTGAATTTAGCAGGTAAATTTTATTTTTAATTTGAATTATGTAAAATACTACGTAAGTTACAATAATTATTTATCACTTTTTAGTGACCGAAAGCGAATGAGTGTTATAGTTCAATGCCCAGATGGACAGTTAAAATTGTTTTGTAAAGGAGCCGTACGTATTAAGAAAGAGCAAGTTTTTTGACGAAAAACAAGCAGGCAGAGAAATATACACGTACCAACGAGACCCAGTTGTTGTTTAATTCAAGATGTTAACAGGACACTTCCCTATGTTTGTACTCTATGTTTTGTTGTTTAGGATAGCGTTATAATACAACTCCTTGCTGCAGATGATCCTATTGCTGAAATAACAACGCAACATCTCGAAAGTTTTGCCAAAGACGGTCTTCGTACTTTATGTGTTGCATCTCGAGTTATATCGCCCGATGAATATAACGTATGGAACGCCTAGGTAGTTCTGTAATTAGCGAAATTTTTCATTTTATTCTTTTTCTGCTAGTCATGGAATGAACTTTATCGTCAAGCATCAATAGCAATAAATAATCGAGCAGAACTGGTAGCAAATGCAGCAGAACAAATTGAAAACAATCTACATTTAATCGGTGCTACCGGAATTGAAGATAAATTACAAGATGTATGTTTCAAAATAACAGTCTATCCTAATTGTTAGTGTCTTTTCATTTTTTACAGCAAGTAGCTGAAAGCATATCAATGTTACACAAAGCTGGAATTAAAATTTGGGTTTTGACTGGTGATAAAAAAGAAACAGCCATCAATATTGGTTAGTAAAATTAATACTTTTTTTCTATGACAGAGTTAAATGTTGATGGAACGGTAGTGATTACAGTAACGCCTATTCGCTGATAAACTTAAGTTGTCATTTTCTCTAATTTAAGGTTATTCATGTAAATTATTATCTGATCAATTATTGAATTTGACACTTGATGAAGATTCCATAGAAGTAAAATATTTGTTAATATTCAAACTAAGTTATATTATTGTGTACGAACTTTGATCTAGGATACAAGACGACAGTTACGTGAGCATTGCTCCTCGTTTGGTGAATCACTTGGAAAAGATAATTTAACATCACTCGTTATCGAAGGAAATGTAAGAAAAAATTTATTTTCTCTTTTTTTCTCATGAAATTAACGTTTATAATATATGATTTAGACATTAAAATTTGCTTTGTCTCCATCATGTAGACAAGATTTTTTGGATTTAGCTATTTCATGCAAATCAGTCATCTGTTGTCGGTTCGTCTGAACTCTCTCATCTTTTGCATAAAAGTAGTATAGAATAATTGCTGTTTTGTATTACAGTGTTAGTCCAAAACAAAAAGCTGAAGTTGTCGAACTTGTTAAACGTTCGACTGATGCTATAACCTTAGCCATTGGTGATGGAGCAAATGACGTTGGAATGATTCAGGTTAGGAGAGAAGAGATTTTTTTGATTTTTTAGAAGTTCTACGATCTAGTTATTTAAACAGTATTTTTGATATCTTCTCATTATCGATATGTTTCTATTTTTGTGTAGACTGCACATGTTGGCGTTGGTATAATGGGACGAGAAGGTATTTAAAGTTAAAATCTTTATCTTTTAAAATATTTAATTTTTTGTTCACAACTTATTTAAAAAAGGTGTTCAAGCAGCGTGTGCATCCGATTATTCGATTGGACAATTTCGTTTTCTAACTAAATTATTATTTGTGCATGGTGTGTGGAGTTACAGACGTTTATGTAAAGTTTTGTTGTATTCATTCTATAAAAATATTTGTTTATATGTTATGGAAGTACGTTAGAACGATTTGAGTAGTATCATATCTAATTGTGATCTATTAATTATTTAGCTTTGGTTTGCATTACACAATGGATTTTCTGGTCAAATATTATTCGAGAGATGGACGATTGCCATATACAATGTGGTACGTAGGGATGTTAGCGAATCGTCTGACTAAAATATTTATCTATACTGTGGCGATTGTAGATTCTGAAACTTTTTTGTCTTTGATGACAGCGATGCAAAGATCTCTTTTCTGATAAACGATTTTTCAGGCAACAAAAAAACTTTTTCGAGGAAAAAAATAGTGTTTTTTTTCAAAAAAATGTTTTCAATCAGCAACCGTACAGACGGTTTATTCGCTGACGCATCTAGTGGTGTGTGTCTCTTATTTTCTAGACAAACAGTACTATGTGTTAACCGTTTAACCTTTATTTAGTTGTTTACAGCAGCACCTCCCATGGCACTTGGTTTGCTAGATCGTTGCTGTAGTGCTGAAACAATGATGAGATTTCCTGCAATGTATAAAATGTCACAAAACAAGTCTGATTTTAATATTAAAGTTAGTAGAATACTGTTTAAAATATAGCGAGATGTTAACAAATTAATCTGTTTATATTAGGTATTTTGGACATGGTGTCTGAATGCCATTTATCATTCAATTATATTGTATTTTATGTCCTATGCAATGTTACGTCACGGTATGTTTGTTTTAGTAACAATAAGTTTATAGTTGCTATAATAGAATTGATTCAACGAGAAGAAGAATGTGCTTTTTCACAAATTCCAAATTTGTTGTAAATATCAAAACTAACATCAACGTTGAAAAATCTTTGATTTTTAACAGATGTTGTACATCCTAATGGAATAGTGCTTGGCAGCCATTTATATCTTGGAAATTATATTTATACTGTAAGAGTTTATTTCTAACACCAATAGCGTATAACTCTTGCTTGTGGTTTGAATGTAGATCTTTGGTTCAATTTATCTCCCTAATCAAATTGCTTACTTGATGCATGTAGTGTTTCACATATTTACGATAAAAGATTCCCACTTAAACGTTTTTTCATTTTTCTATCTTGCTCTCATTGCTTGAACTTATTAAGTAGATTAATACAGAGGCTTCCATCCTATGGTACCGTTGAGGCAAATTGTCTCAAACAAAATTTTGAGAGAATAAATTTTTAGATTTTAAGAAATTGTAACAGGAGAAGTTCATATGCTGTTAGAATTGAAATTTCTCCGATATCAAACATTTTTTGCCTGACAGCCTGAATATGGTACTTTTTTGGCACCTATCGATATATGAAACTGCAAGTTAACTTTCTAAAAAATACACAGTATTTTGATGCGAAAGATGAGTTTGTCTTTTATATGAAAAATGAGAATATTTACCAGATGGTACAAAATGTCAAAGGGGGTGAGTTTGACCTCAAACCTTTAGGGGGATGGAAGCCCCGGAATTAATAGAACGTACACTTCTTGTTCATTATCCTTTTTAAGAATTTAGTATCCACTATTTTATGCACGCTGAAATAATAGTGCACATTCTTATGCACATCACACTCATTTCTTTTCTTCTTAGACGTTGCTTATAGCAACGGCCAAGTTGGTGACTATTTATTATTAGGAAATATGATTTATACGGTAGGTGGCTGTTGTGTAGCTGATGAATTGCTTCACATTGCTTTTGTACTAATTGTAAAACTTAGTTGTATGAGTATCATCAATTTTTAACTAATCTTATTTTTGTTAGTATGTCATCTTCGTTGTCTGTATCAAAGCTGGCTTGGAAAGTGATGCGTGGACACTTGTAAGTACATTATTTTTACTGATGTTTTGATATTTTTTAACAATATATGTTTGATTTTTAGTTGACTCATGTAGCAATATGGGGCAGTATTGGATCATGGTTTCTGTTTTTGGCTGTCTATAGTAATTTTTGGCCAACAATACCATTGGCGCCAGAGATGAGAGGAATGGTAAAAATTTAAAGAGAAAATTTTTCCGAATTTTTGAGTAAGACATACTTTTATTTCTATGTAAACTAATGATTTGTTGTTTTTTTCAAGTCAAAATATGTGTTTTCAAGCATGTACTTTTGGTTTGGTCTTTTATTAATACCGTTCACAGCACTCATGGCCGATATTATTTATAATTGGTACGATATACTTTATTAATATAGAAATTACACTTAATTAATTCTGTATCTACTTTTAGTCTTCAGCGAACATTATACAAGACATTAATGCAAGAAGTACAAGAGAAAGAGCTGGCAAATCAAGATGTATATGATTTAGTTATGTCAAGGCAAACGTCGACTGTTGCCCGGTACGATGACTAAAATTTTTTTTAAAAATATAATAATATAAGATTGTATTTGATTATGTAGTGTTGCTGAACGTTTGGCACTGTTAAAAAGTGTATTTGTACGAACAAGAACACCGAAAATGGTTGATACGACTGCTAGACCTTATCGTAAGTTTTCAATTAATTTCATTTTTGACATCTTTTATCACAAAATTGACTGTTTTCAGATGGATTTGCATTTTCACAAGAAGAAGATGGTGTTGTGCCACAAGATCAACTAATTCGAAATTATGATACAAGTATATTAAAACCTGCCGGTCTATAATAACAACAGTTAATCAAGCCTTCCTAGTCATATTTATTTTATTATTTACGAGTAAGTTAGATTTTTTTCAAACAATACGATTAATCATTCGAATTTACCTTTTTTTATTTAGTCAGTGTGTATATCTTCGTCTATCTAAATGTTTATTTATTTATATACTTAGTTGTTTTTTGTTTTCTTCTTTTAAATAAATTGTTAAATTATAGAGACAGTGCAATTTTTCTCTATTTTTTCTGTAATACAAAACACTATTTATAACTGTATAATTTGATGGTTAGCGGTATGGATAACTTCCACTCCCTCCTTATTTCTACAATGTTAACTTAATATCTTTTTCCCATGATTTGAAGCTCTAATACTCGCATATCATTTTCTTTTGTTATTCTTCCTCAAAGTGTGATTTAAATTTTCTTGTTTTCGTTCAATTTGTTTTAATGGACTGATCAAGGATTAGATAGACAAATGTACACATCTATATATGATTACACACTTGTTTCTTTTTAACTTGTCGACTTTGAATTTTTTTTATCATCTGTTTCTTTTTGTCAACGTTTCCCTCTCCTAATGTCGTCAAATTTTGTTATTTTATGACGTTTGTATTGTATTCAGTTGATTTTATCATTTTTATTTAAAAATAAAAATCATTTAACAATGTTATGAATATAGAAAAGAAATACAGCATCAGAACAACTTTATAGCAGATTTTCTTGCTCTCTTCTCACTCTCAATTCAATCTTACCTACTGTGATATCTTCCTGCGATGATGATACTTATCTTTCTTCATTCGACATATGAGAGTTTCACAGTAATCTATTAGAGTTGGCTTTTAGAAGTAGAGTAAATAATTAAAGAAAGTCTTTGACTTGATGCCAAGTAACCAAAAAACAACCCTAAATTTACTTCTCTTAAAATGTAAACTAGAGCGCGAGCAGTTCATATCTATTTATTCAATGGTTATTGAATTCATAAAAGCATCACGACGCTTTGACGTGCAACACACACCTAGCACATTGATTCAAATGTATCTTTCTAGCACCCCCTCTCCACTGTCACTATGCACATGTTTAGTTTAAATTTTTCTTCTCTCTTTCTTTCTTATTCTTTTCTTTCTTGGGTTATCTTCTTCTTGTTTTTTTTTTCTTCTCTTTTGTACACGTTTAAGATCATCCTAGTTTTCTCTGAAGCATGGTTGTCTACGAAACATTTAATTCGGACTACTAAGTACAATGCCCTTCGGCGATTCTAAGTTTTCTGATATGCCTTTTCTTACTTTTGTTTTTTATCATAATAAATAGTTTAAACCAAATAATTAAATGTTTTTTAAAAAAATGTGAAGTTTTTTGGAAAATAAACTTTTTTCTTTAAATCTTATTTTGAGAATCGTCGAAAACTGAATTTATTTAATTACAGTACAAAATTTGTACTACAAGTACAAGAGACAAAATATGTTAATAGACGAGAATAATCTAAATGTTTAAAAATAATACAATTTTTAGCTGTTATGGTCAATATATTGATATATTTTTATTTTAAGTACAGCAATAGTATACATACTTTTTTATCAGTAAAATATTCATTGAGTTTGTGGCTTCTAATTTTGCATTCGTCAATTATTTTTTGTTTAGAAAATCTAAATTTTTGCTTGTATAATTTAAAATTATAATGTTTCGCTCACTTAGTCCTAGAATCGCCTTTTTTGTACAAACAATTCGTACACTATCGTCGTCATCAAAACAACAGTCCAGTAATCATGTTGAAACATATGAATTACCACAGAATGAGTTTTCAACATTCATAACAGCAAATCCAAGACAAAAGAAGCCAAGAAAAACGGGACAAACAGAAATTCGAGCGGCATACTATTCAGTAATGGGAAAAAGATATTTGGAGGATATTTTAGAAACGATGGGTGTCTATGTTGATTCACTCAAATTTGCTGGTGGAGCATTTACACTTTATCCTCAAAAAGCACTTCATGAAGTAATAGAATTAGCTCATTCTCATGGCGTAAAGGTGTCAACAGGTAAAGAGACATGATTTTATTAGTTTGTGACATGTTGATTGTATGTTATTTACTCTAGGAGGATTTATTGAGCGAATATTATCTTACGGTGGTGGTACTGGATATAAGAATGCTGAGTCAATGGTTGATAAATATTTAAAAACATGTAAAAATGTTGGATTCGATATAGTTGAATTGAGTGCAGGATTTATTTCAATCTCACCGGATGACTGGCTTCGTCTTATTGAAAAAACATCATCATATGGTCTTATACCAAAACCGGAATTGGGTATTAGTTGGGGAGCTGGAGGTGGTGTTGATGAAAATGCATTACAAATACAATCATCACCAGAACGTCTTATTTCACAAGGAAAACTTTTTCTCAAACATGATGTTCCTTTGTTAATGATTGAGTCAGAAGGAATCACGGAAAATGTTGAACCTAATAAATGGCGGACAGATGTAATATCGAGAATAATAAATGAATTAGGAGCAGATAATGTAATGTTTGAAGCAGCTGAGCCAGACGTTTTTACTTGGTTTATTCAAAATTATGGAATAGATATCAATTTATTTGTCGATCACTCTCAAATTGTACAACTCGAATGTTTGAGACAAGGTATTTGGGGTTCATCAAATACATTTGCACGTATAGTAAGTTTTAGAAATATTTCATAAATTAGTTTTATTCGGTTTTTTTTATCTATTCAAGCAATATGTATATATATATACTACTCTACATGCTTATTTAATAAATAGATTATGTATTAACGATTTCAATGACATTATAAAACTATTCGTTTGATAAAACAGCTGATTTCTATATTTTTTGAAAACAAAAAAAATGTTCAAATGCTCAAGTTTATGCCTTGTATAGCTGAATAAATCTAAAAATATAGATGTTTCTTTTTACTAGTATAATAGAGAGAGATGAGTACTCTTATCAATCAGAAAGTGCCTCTTCTTTGAAGAGATAGTACTTAATCAATAGATGTGAGTTTTTTTGTTCTCGTCTTACTATTCATCGTTAAGAAAAGTGCGATAGGATCACTTAACAGTATATAATTCTATCTTTTTTCTCTTTCAAATAAATAGTGATGGTTAGTTTTTTCTTATATCTATATTTCACGCTCGAATTAGACAATTCATTTATTTTTTGTTTTCTGAACAATTTTCAACAGTTCTTGTTTTGTTAGTTAATAAATCGAGTTTATCTTTTTTCATATTTTTATAGTATACGAAGAAATTGTTTTACTTCGGAGTTCTAACTGAATATTCTATTCTTTTCGAATGTAACCGCCACAATTTAGAAGATGTATTTGCTCTTATCACGATCATCATAACCATAGTCGAGATCCACGTAAAAACGTCTGTGATAATCCTGTGTAGTTTGTAATCATCTCTGTGTTTTGTCGATTTTTTTAGACATTTTTAAGTTCTTTGTCACATTTGTGAATAAGTTGCACTAAAAAATAAAGATCGACTGAGACCTTGACTTAAACAAAATACTAGAGTTCCCAAATGCTAACAAAATATTCAGAAAACTAGCAAAATATGAACGAATGAATCCTGCGGTATTTCTTTCAACATTGGGACATGTACTGTATGCTATAACTCCACATCATGCTTTCCTTAGATAATGTTTTACACTACGAAACTTCTATAGATAGTTCTTCATTTCATCATATGCACAAAATTTCTCTCTCTCTCTCTCTTAGAATTGATTAAGAGTTTTTTCTCCTCTCTATGTTATACTACTATCATCTATACGATATTTCAGGAAAAAAATGAATGTGTTTATTGTCTATTGTTGCTCTTTTCACTCTTATATTTTTATCATTTATTTATTAGTTAATATATACGTTCAATGGACTCATCATAACAAAATTCTCACTTTTAACATCATCTTATCATGAATATATTGTTAAAGGTCATCTATCGAAAAAGAATGTATTGGTGACAGCTACATTAATTTATTTTTGTTAATTATTAATACGACCTTTATGAATACTTACGTTAGTTCTACTGGTGAAATACTATATATCATACTTCAAAAGATATTTTTCTCTTTTAAAAAGTATCGTGAAAAAATTTATTTTTTGTTTAAAAAATATAAAAAAAATCAATAATAAGTGACATCATACAAGTACGAAGTATTTGAGTCAAACGGAAGCTGTACAATAGGGATATGTAGGATGAAATATTTTCACGTCCTATAATCTACTCTATATAAATTCTTTTAGGTTAAATTTACTAGAGACTTCAACTTTTTGTCCTAATCCCCTACTTTATGAGATAGAGAAGAGTTCTTACACATCTCTGTTGTACAATCGTCGTTTCATGAAGTGTACAGTCTGGACGCGCTATCTTGTATCTTTGACAAAGTATTTATTTATCCAACAAAATAAACCATCCGAAGATCTTCTTACGTTAGTCATAATAGATGAATCCAGAATATTGGACGGAATATATATTTTTTTCAATTGGAAAATTGATCTATATCAAATATTAATAATCGCGTATCTTCTTAGTACTACTACTAGTAGATTGTATAATTGTCTTTGATAGAAAATTAGTTAGTAAGAATGAGATAAAAACGATATACAATAATTGAAGATTTAGGTTTGGCCCAGTGGCAGAACACGCTCGACTGTTACCTAAAAAAGAATGACAATAAATAAAAATTAAAAATCTGCCATTTTTTTTAATTGAAGTAATTATTCTGAGGAACAACCTGAAAGATATTTCCCATCATTCTCTTCAAAAGATTAAGCTTATTAATATTTTGAAGTTCGAACTTAATGAACGACAGGAGACTGTAAACTCGTTAAAAACTGTCTCTTTATTGTTGCCATCTTAATTGTGAAAAGTTTGTTTTACTAATGAAATGATCCATTTTCGACACATATGATTTCTAGTATTCTATGGGGCATAAAACTAATCTTTAAAAGACTTTTGACTGTCAAAATAATGATGGGAGAATCAATTTTCAAATATCTTTCAAATTCTAATATTCTTACCGACATTTAAGTAGGATTTAGATCATTTTTATGTCCCTAACGGTATATTTATGTCATGTAATAAAATATTATATAATTCCTTCTCTACTTATATGTACGAGAAGAATTATTTTTATTTTTTTTAAATATTTTGAAGTAGAATGTAATGAGACGAACTACTGTTTCAAATTTAATAGTATTCACATGATACAAATAGATCTATAACGTCTTTGCATATATCGAAAAAATTAATTTGAATAACAATATCGTCTATAGTAGACATAATGTGATATTGAATCTCTTGCTCTCTCTTTTCTATATAAACACTTTATTATTAGTTAAATTAATCAGAAGCACTAGAAGACGAAACAGAAATAATAAGAATAATGATTTGTATACAAATGTGCATAACAATTAACCAATTTTGATGCTAACAAGAAGAGGGAAAAGTCGCCTAACAGTACTCATGTCAAAGTGAATATGTATATATAAAACAGTTCTATATTTTTTCTCTCACAAAGGTCATAATAAATTAATCTACTTACGAACAATTAATTCATATTTTAATATATCACCCGTATTTTGATTTAAACACATATATTGTCCAGTATCATTGATTTCTAATGAATTAATTAATAAAAAATGATTACGTTGATCAGGTGAATAAGCATTATAACGTTTATAAACAGTTTTTCCACGTTGCCATATAACACGATTTTGAAAATACCAATCAATCATTTCATAAGATACTTGAGTTTTTGTTGTACAATTAATGAGAGCAAAACGATCATCTAACGAAACAGGTATAATAGAATAATGAATGGCATATGATGAGCGAATACGACGACGGCGACGAGATTCAATTGACACTAAAAATAAAACAAAAATGATTATTAATACTGTTCCTAAGTTGTTCTAATATTACTGTTGACTACATACTTGTAGCTAATAACTCAAAAACAATAATCTTTATGATTATCAGCAGTCGATACGATCCCAACATGATGATGGTCTATTTAATAAACATTAATCTACAATAAAAGAATACGTTTTACCATAATAAGTAGAAGAGTTTTGTTAGAAAAAAATAAATTTAAATTATTATTCAAATCTATAACCAATTATTCATTTATTAGAATATTATAATGAGGTGAAAATATTTTGATATTGTATCTTACATAACAATCGATGATTCATTGTGAAAATTATTTTAAAAAAAAAAGTAAAAACAAACTTGAATTACTGTTATACGAACATATTAACATGTAGAAGAAGAATTATTGTCACAAATAATGGTATCGCGTCATCCAATTGACTGGTGCTGATGAAGTAGTCTGTATAGTGTAGAAGAAGAATTGTGTGTATGTGTGTGTGTATGTGAACATAAACAAATATCGATGAGAAGATAACGACTAGAATATGTATATAAGGACACACATCATCGAACTATGATTTTTGTAAGATTAGAAGAGAAGGTTTGATATGAGTGCTGAAGGAGAAGAATAAGATTTTTCTCATTCTCTTCTCAAGAGACACTATATATTTAATAGATATCTATCGAATAGTTATTTTTATCCTATCTCATTCTCGCCAAAATTTAACGTATTATTGTTAAATACATTGTTCACTTCTTTAATTTCACTTCATAAATTTTCACTTTATGACTAAAAAATGTCGTGTATACCAATTGTACCTGATCATAATTACTTCAATCTATTATATCAACTCTCAGAAAATTTCATAAAATATTTTTCCCATAAAAAATATTTCTTCTTAGCTATATTATAGATTTTTATAGACAATGAAAAATTATCTTTCTCTCTTTTCTATCTATCGTCAAATGTATTATAACACTTGCTTTGTATCGTAAATAACGGACTTTTATCTTTTCCATGTTGTCATTTTCAAATATCGAATAGACAAATACAACGTAATTTATTTATGTATGATATGTCCTTGAATAAGTTGTTTCGATTGTTGACTCAATTAGAATATAATGATTTATTTCACGCTGACTATGCTATAAGATGATGTTATTGTTGTTGTTATTGGTGGTGTTATTTCGTATACAAAAACTTTGAACACTATTTCTGTCAGCATATAAATCTGCCATGTAGTACAACTCGAATAACTAGTTCCTTAAATTCATGATAATCTACGTACCAAAGTTCATAGACTTGATTTTTTCTTTCTGTGTCACTCAAGACTATTCATACATGAATAGATAACACCTCACAATATTATTGTTCTTTTTATTTATTAACATATTTTGTGTACTATCCGTCAAACAATTATCTTATTTTTATGTTTTGTTTCATCAGTATGGTAGGTACGTAATACACGATGCACCAACAATCACAAAATTATGATCACATACACACACACACACACACACACGATAGTATATGTTAAGAGTGTGATGTAGAACCACAATATTGCCTCTGAACATTGATTAGTATTTGTACATACCGAAGGCAGTCTTTGTCTTATTTATATTTTGCCTGATTAAATGAAATGGTCAAATTAGCTCCACCTTTCGATAATAAGGTTTATCAGTAGACGATTACTAATATTGTTACACATGTGAAGAAAAACTAGAAATATTCGAACATATAATGATGAATAAGGAGAGAAAGAAGAAAAAACAGAATGATGAAAGAGAGAACGAGAATAATTTTTTCTTCTTCTCTTGTTATATCGGACCACTTAATTAGCAAATGTAAAGAACTTCCGTTTTTGTTTTTAGCTGATATATATATATATATTCATAGATCTAAGCACACTCGTCAAGCGAAAGAATAACAACAGATGAAGAAGAATTATTATTTTCAAAAAAAAAAAAAAAAAAAGAAAAGAAAATGTTAAATAATAATAGAAGAAGTTCTACAAAAAATAAAGTACATGTATCAAAAAAAAAAAAAACGATTGACCAATGAAGAGAAATATTTGAATAGTGTTAAGTCCTATTTTATATATTTTTCAAAACTATTGTCATACAAACAAATCTTTTAGAAAAAAAATCAAAAAATTCTTTAGACTGATAGTGTTTCTTAACTTTTCATTTATTTTTAAAATTAGTCGACGACTCAACTGATTCTTCTCATTTTTCTGATATTTACTTTGATTCATTTATTTCCTGTACATGTTAAATAAAAAAATACTGTTATTAAAGTGAGCTTTTTTTCTCTCTCTGACTAACACAGTATATACCCATTGGGGAATAGTTTAATTTTTTTTTTTTTTTTTTGACTGATTTAAAACGATAAAGGATATTACATGGACACAATCATAATATCCGTTGGGAACAAACGTTTTCTTTTCTTGCGTTGTGTCCTTGTTCATGGTTATACAAGGCGTAGAGTTGAAATACGAACGCATGTATCTATACCTCATCAATCTTTTAGTATTTTTTTTCTCTCGCGATCATGCAAGAAACAGAAATTCATTTTCTACAATAGTTGTCAAAAAGTTAATGTTTTGGAATGCAATAACAACAACAGATTCATTATCCTAATTGAAAGGATATATTATCTTTAATTAACTTTCAAGATTTAATAAAAACGCATGTCTCTGGCATGACTAGTCTTGAAATGATTTTTTAAAATGAATAAAACCTTGCTCACTCTCTTATCTAGTAGTTTTTTTTATCATAAGTGTAGGAAGATGGTTAGGATCGGTAGTCATTAATAATCTGACTTTAGATTGGTATGTAGCTTAACTCCTTCTATCTGAAATACATCACATATGTAATTTAATGTTATTTCTTACACAATCAACTATGTCGAGTGAGTTCTTTATGGTTGAGACCGATTTGAAAATAGTTGTGTTCGAACCTGTCCTGTGTTATATTAGGTCAGAGGCTGTTACATCTTACAAAATAAGTGACCACAAAGAACATTTTTAAATTAAACAAGCGAAACTACTGTAACATTTTGACACTTCTTGAGTAAATGAAGCAGAAACAAAATGAAAACTTTTATCGCAGTGTTTCTAGAAACCTTGCACAACGGCGTTACTATAAGAGTTTCTAAGATTTAGCCTTGATTCATTCCATCTAAAGTTGTCTCATTTTTTTCAGTCTCAATTCGCCCTTCTTTTTTATGCATTCCTTGACAGTTCTAAAGTAAACATACCAAACTTCTCTATGGCAAATGAGAAATATTGTCACTAATGTGGTTTGTACATGCTATTTGCATGACATTGCTTCCACTACTCTACCACATTTAATAGCTAATTCTAGTTCAGCCAATTCATAGTTATCAAACAATTCTTCCATTTTCTCATCAATGTTGTCTTATAATTCTTACGCTTTCGAATTTAAAGTTTTGATTACTCTGCTTGATGATATTCGTAAACATGTTCATTTCTCAACAAGCAAATGAATTCAAAAATATATGAATGTACTGAGAAGTGAATGCACAATCAGTCAAAAGACATTTCTAGTCTTATTTACTACGTCTTTTTCGTCTAGATAGTGTCTCCTACTTCAAAACTTATACAATTGAAAAAAAATTAATAATTTCTGCGACGAATTAAGAGGGTGGACATCATTGCTAATGGTACATGTTCCTGTATGTGTATTTCATTCAAGTGTTATCTTGTACTTACAGCAAACAAACAGAATTCACTAATCAGAGAAACACTTAGAAAATAGAAGTTTTAAAATAGTGAAGACGGTTGTGATCATATTGCGAATATATATAATAAATCCCGAGTCTTTTTTTTTTCACTGTAAAAATGTGGACGTTCGGTATCGTGCACATAAATAATTAGTATTAGTAGTCCATCTATATTTTTGATAATGACTCTAAAGGAAGGAACAATAATAATCTGATTACCTTCTCTTTCTCTCTATTTATTCTAATTTGTATCGTCATGCACACCCACCAATTCTCAGTTTTTCCAGCTAATTTAACTTTGAATATCAAAGTTTAAAAATAAAAAACTTATATTGTTATTCGTTGATTGATTTTTTTGTTCACAATTATCAGATTCAATTTTATTTTTAACTGTATAACTAATGGTTTCAAAACAGACGCACTCAGTACTTACAACATGTTTTAGTCTTTTTTTTTATTCTCTTCTTTGTTACCTATATATATATATATATATATATGTATGTATATAATTTTTTGATCTTAAGAAAGAAGGAAAGAAAAAAACAAAAAGAGAATTGATCAGAAGACAAATTTTTAGAGTTCAATACAGTAACAACAACAACTATGGAAAAACGCAAAAGTGCGTGAGAGTGATAAGGAAATGTTCTATAATGGGGAAGAAAAAAAGTCTTTAGTGGGGGTTTTTTTTTCTCAAAAAAAAAAAAAAAAAATTCCACTTTTTAACTTTTTCGTTTAATAGAAAAAACAAGAAAAAAGAATAAAAGATTAATGTCATTGTTTTCTAAACATAGAAAAAAACATACAGAACATTCATATAAATTTAATAATCGACTAATCAGTTATTTAACTAATGATAGTTTCTGTTCACACAAACGAGTTGAAAAACAAGTTGATTTTGTCTATCTTTGACTTGTACTCAACGCTTTGTTGTTGAGAGAAGGAAGTTTTTTTCTACAAGAAAAATGACCTTAGATTTATTTTTACAATTTATTCGTTTCTTATAAAATTGACGATATTTATTTCTACATTTTTTTTTTTCATGAATAAATATTTAAATATTTTCTCAGTTATAATCTGTTAAAGTGAAATAAATTCAATCATTGTTGTATTTATTCATAGCTAGTTGACGTAATACTCATCAGATAAAATATTTTTGTTGTTGTTATATTATATTTGATTCTAAATATGAACGTGATGCATCATTTTCAAGTGAATGTTGAGCATTTTAATTTGGTTAAGTATCCTTTGGGGCATTTATCAATGAGAAGATCGTTTCTTTAATCTTTCTAATTGATTTACTCTTGGGTATATTTCATGTGTGGGCCTATTTCACTAAGGAGATGTGCTATATATAAATATATATCTTACGATATGATGGCAGTCA